AGGAACATGAAAGACATCAGAGCTTGCTGCTGATCTCTTGCAAGTGACTGCCTTGATCTCCTGCTGAGCTCACTTTTCGAGCACCAGAGATGGAGAGCATCCCATAGCAAACTGCATATTCCCTGGGACAGGCACCCTGTCATCTTGCCTGCCTAGTGGCACTGTTGCCTGTGGGCTCTTCCATGGCACAGCAATAAACATACTGCAGTGCTTTTCCCTTGCCTTGCTGCAGAAGAAGGAACACTCATCAGGCATCATCCAATGCAGATGGGAAGCATCACCTGTTTTACTCTTCTTAGTAAAGCTACTAAGCTTTGTAATAATCTAGGAAGAGACAGTAATAGGGGCAGAGAGATTGGGAAAAATGAGTGGAGGAGGGCAACAACGTTCTTTTAAAAGCCAAAGGAACTTAATTGCAAAATGCAATTTCAGCTAACTACTGAGAACCATAAACCCAAGTAAAATTAGCTCCATACATATAGTGATTTTTTTAGAATTGTTAGTATGTAGTTTCACATTTAAATAGTTTTGTTAATCTTCTGTAAGGCAGCAAAGATGCTTTGGTAATTTTGCATCCGTATCCTGCTCAGCAAACAATGGTGATTCATGACCGCTCGTTGACATTTGGTGGATACCTGTCTGATCCCAAGTTTCAGTGTCAGCTTCAAGTAATATGGATTCATTACATAACATGGAAAGTGCTGGTTTGCAGAACATCATGTGTCCCACTCACAGTAGTGCTTATAGTTCAAACGTGAAAAGAACAGGAGGATACTTAGATGGTCTATTACTCTCAGATAGTGGATTGTCCCTTGCCCTGTCCCAAGCCTCCTGCATTATCTTGCACAAATTAGGCTCACTTTTTCAGTTAATCTCCCAAGCAGAGGTACTGTTGCAGTTTTATCTCCTTGGCTGATGAGGCAAAAGCTGCAGTGAAGATAAGAGTTGTCAGATACACCTGCAAAATAACACACCCTTGATCAAATCCAGAATGCTACAAGTTCAACACCTAAATATTTAAAGTTAGGAAGCTTCAGTGTTTACAAACCTAGCAAGTGTCATGTGGCATGTAATGAAAAAAAAGTGAAAATGACACCAGATATCAAATACAAGTGTTACAACTGCTTGCAGAGAAGTAAACAAAGCAGGTTTGCTTTCATTAAGACTTTAACAAGAAAATGAAGCAGACCTTCAGCTTCCTTGCACTGCTTAGCTACAGGTCAATTAAAAAGCAAGGTTAAAAAGCAAATGGCAGAAATTTGGGTATAACATTGGACAGCTTCCTGCCTACTGCCACTTCAGACCTACTTTAACCATCATTTTTTGTATGTGTAAGAAAACAGTATTTAATAAATTAAATAACTACTCATACAGGATTACACCTCCCTCCCTCTCCCAGGGTGCTGAATCATATCTGACATGTTTTTACACAGACACATTTCACGCTAAATGTGAGTCAGATTACTGTGTGAAAGGAACTGTCGCTGATCAGCAGCTACTCAAGTGGCTGTGGCTGGCCACTATGATGCCACTGCAGAAGCACACTCCAGGGAGACTTCATTCTTTCTCAGATGAAGCAAACATAAGCCTTAGCTGCTACAATTCCTCCCTTCATACCAGAGGGCTGTCCCAGCCCCAGACTATTGTGAATGCTAAGAAGGAATAACGGGGCACCTGGCAGAGCTCACACCACCGCGGCGAGGGAATTAGCGAGGGCGATGCTAAGTGTGCAGCCTCACAGAGCCAGAAGTCAGGAATGAGCACTAGCCCCTTGTCACTGTCACAGAATGCATCAGTCCCCAGCTGCCCCCGTGTGCCTCCTGCCTGCACTACAGCGCTCGAACTCGACAGGACTCTGGAGAACGCCCTTGGGCAAGAAGAGGTCCTGCAGGTATATATGGCGCTGGCAAAAACGAGTCACATTTAATGTTCGCTGGTGAACAGGGGAGCACTCCATTATTCCCAGAGTGGAGTCCACTGTTACTTGCCACAGATGGTAAAGCAACATACTTTAAAATTGTAAAATTACAGATTTATGTAAGTTACAAGTATTCTTTCTGTAGAATAGAATGTCCCCAGCCAGTTTCTTAAATCCATAAAATCCATAAAAAGATTGATTGCATTTTATGAAATATCAGGAGAGAAATTCCATACCTAATAGTGTTTTGGAGCACACCTACTTATTGAATTATCACCCTTAAATACTTATTTAAAGAGTACCCAAAAATACTCAGTGCCCTCTGGTGGTTTGAATTATGAAAGACAAAAAGAAACTACTCAAGTTTGATCAGTCTCATAACTAAGGCGGCACACGAATTGCACCTTCTATAGCAGTAGGGCCACAGCAGTCACCCTGAAGAAGAAAATACATCCCACACTCTTCAGTCCATACCTGCAAAACCAGAGAACCTAACACAAGGTTTTCTGGTCAAAAAAAAGGGTGCTATTACCATCAAAGAACTGGGCTTTGTGAAGTTTTTGATTTTCAACCTGATCCTAATCTCTCCAATCCTAAACCACATCCTCCCCCTACAGAAAACAACAAAGTAAATGGCTTAAAATGTGTTCAAATCAATAAAATCTATCTGCTAAGACTTTCCCATTCTTTCCATGTGCAAACACATTCTGAGAAACAAACTCCTTTAGCCACAGAAGTAAACATGTCAGCTGAACTCCATAAATTATTGGTGCTAAGCTTCTTAGTTACTGTATTTACCCCTGTGGCCCACACCAGCCCCATATTAAGGGCACAGCCAGAGGAGCTTATAAAACATACAGAATGTGAAACAAAAATTAGTAGCCAATATAATCATAGCAATTTAATTGATAACTACTTTAAGAGAGAGAAAGGGGAGTGGGAAGGAAATGAGAACTGCTGTAGGGAAATGCACATGGAGGAAAACAGGTGGTAAGACACTGGAACAGGTTACCCAAAAATGCTGTGGGTGCCCCAGCCCTGGAAGTGTTCAAGGCCAGGCTGGGTGGGGCTTTGAGCAACCTGGTCCGGTGGAAGATGTCCCTGCTTCTGGGCAGGGGATGGAATGAGATTATCTTTAAGGTTCATTCTAATCCAAGTCATTCAGTGAAAAAAAAGAGTGACAGAAATACAACAGCAGAGAAAGAACGTAAATAGTGAAAAGCACTTTTCTCAGTGACTACGCATCCTCACATAAGATTATGCAATTTCATAAAAACAGTATTCTGCCTCTAAGTCCTGGGCAATAACCTACAGCTTCACAGAGCTGAGGAATGTCTCTAAATGTATACAGAGTACCTTAAGGCACAGATTTGAAATATAATTAAATGCTACACCACAAAATGCATTCAGCAGTGATGGCTCCTCCCTCCCTTCTTGCCCTCAATTTCCTAACAACGTGAGTCGTGGTGAGGCAGTAAATGTAAAATTCACTTTCTTAGCTCTTTCCTGATCGTGTCCACAAAAATGTTAAGAGATAAAATAGGCTGGTTAGAGCTGGAAAATGAAGAGGTGAAAACTGGTCCTTCCCAAAGCGGACCTAGAGTTTGAGAAAGATAAGAAACAGTACTCTACTCATGAGACAAAAAAAAAAAAAACCCATGCTTTGACCCTAGCAAGTCTGGCAAATCCCTAGGAAGTAGAAGTTTTAACATTATTGAAATGCCTCCTCATTGTAGACACCCTGGACTTTGTATCTTTTTTTTTTTTTTTTTTTTTTTTCAAATACAGCCACAACAGGAAACAGGAAACAAAAGAAACATGATTTTGAGCAAATGTACACTGCATGGAGAACAGACTATGTAGTTTCTGTGCCCTTTCATTGCTTGTTTCTTAAATTCTAAATGAAACTTGAAGATGCCTTTATCAGATATTCCTGTAGCTCTTCTGTGTTGCAATAAAGCAGCCTTGGATGCCAGCTTCTGCAGTCATTTCACAAATGTGCACTTGACCACATGTAGTACTGTCCCATTCCCTAACACTGCTCATGAGTTGGTGTGTCTGTTTCTGCATAAAACAAAGGTTACAAAAAATACACCATTCACTCTTTTATAGCAGAGTTACAGACACTCATTCAAATCTTACCAGACTCAAAAGTCAAATATAAAAAGAGGGACCCAGAAATGCTTCCCAAACACAGAACTCTTTTTAATCCCAACTACCTGCTAGATGATGAACTGGGTCAACAAAAATCCCCCTCTCTCCCTGGGAACAAGGCCCTGACTTAATGCTGGAGAACAAAGAGCAGTTTTACAGAGCTCGAGTATCCTATAACCATGGCACTACCAATATATCACATGCATTCTCTCTAAGTAGTGAAATATGAATTGCTGTAATGAAATCAAATGAATTCTCTAACAAAGGGCTAATAAAGAGATTCAGAAAATACAGCGGTTTACTCAGAGATCAGAAAATTAGATTATATGGGGAAAGAATAAAAAGGAAATTTACATAGTTTTGTTACATTTCTGTCATTTGAAACAACACATTTGAAACACATTAAGTCAATTTTATTACTCTGTGTGTCCTTAGAATGCAAAAGCACACGAAATAACCAGGTTTTCTCAGCACAAGAACAAAGGCCAGAAGGATAAATCATCTAGCTGCCACTTAGCTGGTTAAAATTTGTAACCAGCCCAAATGTACTGGCAATTCTTTCTCCAGAAAATCATTAAATCTTCTCAGAAAACCTACCTTTAAATAACAAGGTTTGTTCATGACTCTAAGTGTTACATAGCTCTTTCTGTCTCCTTTTAGGATGTTATTTCTCTATTAACATTACATGGAACAGCAACAAACATGTAAACAGGAAAATACGCACAAAGCAGATTTGGGCCAACCTATAATCTTTTCTGCTTGCTGGAAATCCCAAGGTATGATATAAGGTAACTTGTTTCAGCTCACAGATGCATCACCAGTCACATCTCATCATTCCAGCAGCATACACACTGTTCGAATAACTCAGTGTCTAGACATACAAGTGATCGCATATTTAAGTTTTAGAAAGCATCTGAAAAGGAAGAAGTAGCACCAAGGGAATTGATCATCTTTATTATGCAACAAAAAGACAAATAGAAAATAAAATACTTTAACAGGAAAAAACCCAGAAGGTACAATTCAAACATAACACACTGAAACTATACATAATGCAACATGAACATGAAAACATTGTTAAGAAGCAATCTTCTAGTAAAAATTTCGGGTTTTGGGCATCACCCATCACAAATACACAGCTTTTTGCGCATGTCTGAGTTTCAGTGAGAAAGATTATGACCAGCAGCAACATATTCAAATAATTTTTCATTAAACATTAACCTAGTGAATGTATTGGATGCAATCTCTTAATATGAAAAAGTACAAAATCTTAAGCAAGGCAGCACCTGCCAATACAGATTTTAAATAAAGAGGATAAACATTTTGAAAGTTTTTTTTATATTGCATTAATACACACTTGTTGCTTTAAAATGTGTATTCAAGTCTCTCAACATTTAAACATGACTAAAATTCTCAGCAACTATGCATCAAGAGACAACTAATTATTGCTATAGAAAAAATTGTTTCCCAGAGTTTTAAAACAGATGTAATTTCACTCGCAATTCCCAAGACATATTCAAGTAATAGAAATAACTAGTTCCAGCGTCCATGAGGATTCAGAATCTGTATTGGCTGTAGGCATTTATTGCCAGATCATATAAACATTTTGTTGAATCTAAAAAAGTTAACTAGACTTACATCTAATTGTTAAACTCCTTAGGAAATGTATGCAGTAATAAATCACTATAGTATGTGGTTTTATTTTAAAAAGGTAAAACTTCATCATCAGGTATCTTGACATTCTTTTCTGTAAAAGGGCACTGTTTAATAGATGGCTTTACTGAGCAAAAGTAAAAATTTACTTTTTTTTTTTCTGTTGGCTCAGTGAACCACTCCAAAACAGTATGTGGTCATACAAGCACCAGAGCTGACAGACAAGTGAGAATATACAGACATATATGGGAGCAAAAAAGGAAATTGGAATACAAGTTCCAAGTGTGGTCTGCTGTCAAAATACTGTAGTGAAATAGTAACGAAATGCAAAAAATGTAATTATAAAAAAGACGTAAGCTTCAGACAAGGTTTTTGAAATAGTTATTTCTGAAATAGACAACTTTCTCTGAATTTTAGCCAGCAATGCCTTCAGTAATGTTTTACACTAGAAAAAAATTTAAGATAGAAAAGGCAAGATAAAATGCATAGTGGGTTAGTTCCAACACTCAATAAAATAGAAGTTTCAGTTCTGAAACACATTACATTGTAAAATGAGGCATTTCAACATTATCACTTTTGGAACACAAGATATTTCAGCATTTAAAGAAGAATCAAAACCTCTGTTTGGAAAGAAAAAGGGAGGCAGGCCACAAGCAGTAGACTGTACTTTGGCTGCACAACTGATACTACAACATATAAATCACCATCTAGACAAAAAAATTACTGGGGATGTTTTCCACCACATATGCAATGCTCATGAATAACAATAACTTGACAAGGGGTGATGGAAACACAGAATGCAGTCAGTCCTAACAGGTGTATGTTCAGCACACTATTTAAAACTCCAAAATGTATGCTGTGCAGTGTGGGTCTCAGACTCATTCAAAAAGAGAAATGAGAGTTTCTAGCCAGGCAGAAGCCTGGAAAAGAGTTGGAGAAGAATGTAAATAATTCTTTCTTGTTACTCACATTGTTTATAGTTAAGTCCTATCACTGTGCGTCAAGCACTCTGCACCAATGCTGTGGATTGTTTTCATTTCAGGACCAATGGACTTGGTCCTCTCGAAGCTCTGTATAAAAGAGCAGTGTATTTTGAATAAACCGGAGTTTTACTCTCAGCAGCCTTCTGGTCAGAGTCTCTTCATTCCCGTCCTGCCTTGACAGCGACAGTGCAGCCTTCTCTCCCCTTCTCCCTTTTAGTATTATATAAAAGATCCTAAAGTTTTTATGACTGGATTTTCCATTTAATTTCAAAATTGCATTATTACTATTTTCTCCAAATTTAATTATGTTCTTGCTGGGAAGGTGGAAATCTAGAACAGGAACTCTTAAAATATGTTGGTCACTATTTTAAAGTAAGTGTTTTCTTCTCAACAGTTTTTTGAAGCCTTCAGATGCAGGAGATGTACAAGTTTTAAACAGCTTTACAAAAATAAAAAGTTTTTGTAGTGTGAAACTGGTTTAGTTATTTAGCAACACAGACTTCTGTGAAAGACAGGACAGACCAAAACTTCAATTCCAAATGCAAAACTAGAAGTTCTTAAAAAGCTCCAGCAAGATCTGGTCACAGGCATAGGCCAAAAAAGTACACCTTTTGCATGTCATCTTGAATTGCTCAGAAAATATGTAATCTTCCTTAGGAGTACAGAGAATATATCTCATCATATTAGTAAGCAAGCATCCTATTTTAGTTATTCCCAAAGATGAAAAAATAGATTTAGTTATTCCTAGGCAATGGCATCATTCTTTCTCAATGAAAGGTGAAAAAAGTCCTGCTCTGCATTGTTGATCTATAGAAATCTTTTAATATTTTAAGCTGTTGTTATTTTCTGTCACATAGCAATAGTAAAAAACAAATCACAACAACAAAATAAAATTAGTCCTTGGTATGACAAATGCCTGTCTTTGTCAGGAAGAGGAAAAAAATAAATTATCTAACAAGATACCTTAGAAGACAGCTGAACTTGAAGAAACCCAACAGTGCAACAGAGCATCATTGCATGTCTTTCTAAAGATACTTTCAAAGTTGGTTTTGGTGAATCAAAACATCCTACATTAATCAAATGAACATGTAATTAACAGAGTAGTAAAAGTTAGAGAAAATCAAGACAAGAGTGAGAAGTTCCAAAAATGTCCCTAATTTCACAGGGGCAGAACTCAGTCAAGATGTCAAGCCTGAGTTTCAGCAAAATCAGAAGTCCTTATGAGTGTGAAAAGAAGCTTAGCCCGAAAAGAGGGTACTAAACATTTTTATTAATATACCCTTTGGATCTCCAACAGAATAAAGTCATTTTTCTCTCAGATAATCAGTATGAAGATGAAGGGGGTTCTACTTTAAAAGTTCACATGGCAGGATTCTTGAACTGCATTTTGGTATTGGGCTTCTTCATCAAGCTGAAGATTCTAAATAAAATGAAAACATCATCAAAATGGGTAAATATTCAAGATAGCATAGTCATTAGTTTAATCATTCATCTGCTATGTTTTTACATAGGAAATGGCACCTAGACAAAGACTCCATGCTACTAGATGATTGTTTATATTGCACAGAATCTTTTATTGTACCAAATACCAAGAGACACATGAGACAGGAGAAGAATAGAAGTATCAGTGGAGTGGGACAAGGCTCATTAAGCAGAAGGGTCCATCTTCTCTCCCTGGCTCAACTGCATTACAGAACAGCCAGCTCAGGAAAGCTGTCTGTGTCACGCAATTGTTTTAGCAGGGCTTCTAATCAGCCATAACATCCTCCATTAATAAAACCAAAATGGGATCCCCAGACAACAGTAATCATAGACTGTTGAGAATACATTGCCTAAAATGGGAAAGCAAACACAGCACACAAAAAGTCTGCTACTTTTTGCAGGAATATCCTCCAAGTTCTTGATATGCCAGAGTGATGAATTTTTAAGTGCAATTCTGGCAGCTTCCCCAAATCAGAATTCCTATCACCAATTTCAGGTCATCATACATGCACTCATGAAGAGCCAAATCTCTCCTTTCAAACCCTAGCTCTTCAGGCTTTTATCACAGCTCACTCAACTCAAAGGAAAAGATACATCATCTTTGCCATTGCGACCCAGTGAGACTGTCTGCGACTCAAATACTATACCTGCTGCACACCAAAGCCTGTCAAACTCTGCAGAAAAAGCTACAATCTCTCCAGCTCTCTGATCCCACATGCAGAACCCAAATGTTTGGCTTGACTTACAAATCAGCCACTGACTACATCTGTGTATGTAGTTCTTCATCTACTTAAGGTCATTTACTCAAACAGAGACTGAAAAGGGGCAACCTAAACACTGATTAAGAGAAACATCTCTTTTTCAGTCTCTCTCACTACATACAGGAAGAGTGGCTGCAGCAGCAATACCAGCTAGTCAAGCTGCACATTGAGTCCTGAGAATATAACTTCACAATTTCTGCTTTAAAAGGTCAATAATGTCCATAAAAAGAGTAGCATCTATCTTATTTCCCCTGGAAGCAGCAGTAATAAACTGTTCTAATAAACAGAATAAAACCAATAAATAGTTGTGATTGAGAACACTAAGCCAAAGACTTAACTCATCAGCTTGGATCAGTTTGACTATTTGACAACACCTATTCCCAGTAGCACTTCATGTTAACTTCATGATAATGAAGTTTAAGAACAGACAGGTCTGCTTCCAAGTTCCATACAGAACAGGAACACAGCATGTTCAGAGCACATGTCAGGTACAAAATTTTTATTTGGCATTTTGATTTTAGGAAAAGAGTTACCATTTATTCCTCCACACATCAAAGAAGAAAAAGCTTACCACAAATTCTCCGTAGTCAAATCGGTGTCTTAGATTTAGATGGCTAACAAGATTTCTAGTAACCTGGTTAGTATCTGCCCATGGAAGAGATACACAAATAGGACAGATCTGAATTTGGAGGGAGAAGGGAAGAGACAGAATTAAAAAAAAAAAGTTATTGACAATGAAGAATGCATTAAAGACATGTTCTACAGGAATAACTAGTCTATTACTCAACCACTACCAAAATACACTAAGACATTAACATCAAATCATACTGCTAAGTGTGCTTTTCCTTAATTGTGTAACATTCAAAAACTACATTTCAACTTGATCAATTTCTAAAGTGTTTCTCTTGGGAGTGAAAAATTATATCTAAGTTAATTCAGAAAAGAAAGCGACTACAGCATCCTACTTATTGTTTGGAGGATTTTTCATACAATTGAGATGATCAAGTAAGCCAAAAGAAAAAATAACACACCCTATACAGGTAAAAATAATAGAAAGCCAAAGAGATTTTTCTCTTGCAGACCCTTTGGTTACGTTGGATTACTTTTCAAGTAACTGTCGGTTTCACACAAAACAGTAGTTACATTACAAAATGGGATTCTATAGAAACAGACCTGAACTACTAAATAAAGAAGAGTTAAGAATTAGGCTCAAAAACTGAGCCCGTTTCCCACCAAGATAAATGAGACAGTTAAGTCAGAAATGCCATAGAACCGGCAGGCTGGACGTGAAACGTTTTCACATCTAAGTCACTCCTCATTTTAAATGCACTGCATGAAGTACATTGTCTGTCTTTCTCAGACCACAGTGATTGTTACAGATATGGAGTAGAGACTGCACAGTTAAAATGCTCCACACAATTACAAAGAAAGTAGCTTAGAAACATACATAAGAGCTCTACTTACCACAGGAACGATCTGATAAAGATGTCTATTATTACAGTGATCCAGCAAGCGCTGTCTGGTAAAATTGGCTTCCTGACACAGGGGGCATTTGAAAGTTGGGTGTCCACTGTAAACAGAAATATAAGAGTATTAAACAGAAAAGTTTCAGAAGTAGTGTTAAGAAACCATACTAATCAAGCTATCATTGTTTTCCCCTGCTTTGATAACAACAAAAAACCTCCACACCCCCACTGACATATTAGCAAATCTAAGGAGTCCCAGTGCTACTATCACATTGCAATTTGGAAATACATTTACAATTAGTATGCCTAAATGCACTCTTCTGAGACTTGTGCTTCTTGTGTTTCCACTGCAGCTACACCCTGGTTTTGCTTTCTTGTATCACCTTTTAGTGCAAATCCTTCAAGGAAGTACTAAAATAACCCAAATTCTAACAAACAGATACAAGCGTACAAGAAACTACAGGATTCTAGAAATACAGCTCTTGGTGGTTTTTTGTGGGTTTTTTGTGGTTTTGTTTTTGCACTAGCAGAAGTTTGCACTGTGACTATCAGAACCTATTCTAATAACAGCTATAGACAAGTAAGCAACATACCTTGTTTCTCCTTGACGTATTTGATTATTAGCCATCTCGCCAGTGTCAGATATTGCATCATTCCTGCTACTTTAAATGAAGGAAAAAAAAAACCAAAAAAAAAACAATGGAACTTCAGATTATTTACTAAACTATCAACATTTAATAAGTTTAACAGTAACAGAGGTGGGGGGGAATATGCATTAAGTCCCATGAATTCCAAGGCAACATACAATGGCACATAGCCTAACCCTCACAAATTTTCCTTTGGATCAAGGTATGTCTCAATATTTACAGAATCACCAAGGCTGAAAGAAACCTTCAAGATCGTCTGCCCAAATGTCAACCTAGCACCACCATAACCACCACTAAATCATATCCCCAAGTGCCACATCCAGACACCTCTTGAACACCTCCACAGGCAGTGACTCCATCACCACCCTGGTCAATTTACTGCAATACCTGACCACGGTCTCAGTAAAAAAAAAGTTTCTACTATCTAATATGAACCTCTTCATGTGTAACTGAAATGGTGAGGCCATTTCACCTCGTTTTTTCACTTAAAGACATGGCAGAAGAAAGTGACCCTCACCTCACTACAACCTCCTCTCAGCTAACTGCAGCAACTGAGTCTCCTTTTCTCCAAGATAAACAACCCCAGATCCCTCAGCTGCTCACCATACAACTTGTGCTCCAGACACTTCACCAACTCCACTGCCCTTCTCTGAATTCACTCCATCACCTCAATGTCCTTCCCGGATTCAGAGGCCCAGAACTGAACACAGGATTCAAGGTGTGGCCTGACTGGTGCTGAGTACCAGGGGACAATCACTGCCCCAGTCCTGCTGGCCACATTGTTTTTGATACAGGCCAGGCTGCCACTGGCCTTCTTGGCCATCTGGGTACACTAGGGGACCATGGCTCAGCCTCTGTCAACCAGCACCCTCAGCTCCTTTTCCATTGGGTCGATTTCCAGTTTTTCTTCCCCCAGCCTGTGGCACTGCCTGAGGCTGCTGTAAGTGCAGAACCCAGACACCTGGCCTTTTTGAACTTCACACCACTGGCCTCAGCCCATTGATCCAGCCTATCCAGATGCCCATGCAGAGCCTTCCTGCCCTCCAGCAGATCAACACTCCCACCCAACTTGCTGTCATCTGCAAACTCACTGAGGGAGCACTCAATCCCCTCATCCGAATCATCAATAAAGGTGTTAAACAGGAGTGGCTCCAAACTGAACCCTGGGGAACACCACTGGCGACCAGGGGCCAACTGGATGTAACTACATTTACCACCTCCCTCTGGGACCTGGCCATCCAGACAATTCTTTTCACCCAGAGCACACCTGTCCAAGCCATAGGCTGCCAGCTTCCCCAAAATAATACAGTGGGATGGTGTCAAATGTGTTCCTGGAGTCTAGATAGACAGCATCCACAGTCACTCCCTTATCTACTATGCTGGTCACTTTGACATAGAAGGAGATGAAGCTGGTCAACCAGCACATGACTTTTGTAAACCCATGTTGGCTGGACCTGATTCCTGGATAGTCCTGCACATGCCACATGATGGCACTCAGTATTATCTGATCCATGACCTTCCCCCATACACTAAGGTCAGTCTGACATGTCTGTAGTTCCCTGGATCACTCTTGATCCTTCTCGTAGATGGGCATTACATTTGCTAATTTCCAATCAACTGGGACTGGAATAATCTCTGGATAACTTAATTACCATGGTGATGCTTGGTGGCATACTACACAACTTTACCGGAAAATGGTATATAATACAACAAACATTTAGTCAACAAGATCGGCAATGCAGGTGACAGCCAAGTATTATGAAAGTATTATGAACTATATGACTGTAAAACAAGTAGCACTTTCAAAGTTTTTTGACTTAGGAAGGTGTAAAAGGCCTTTAACTGCCATGTAGTCACACAAATAATTGGCAACTTTTAACTACAACAAGGTAAATTTTCTTATGCTGCACAAAATAAACTTTTTTTCCTAAAGGAAAACTAAAACAGAAGAATATTTTAGAAAGTAAATTTGACCATATATGCACCTCTTGCTAAACAAGAAGAAAGTGCACAGACATGCTAAGAATATGAATATTTACAGTCACAAATACAGTAATTGTAAATTATTTTATACTTCTGTGATATTATAATCACAGGTATTCTACTGTGGCAAACTGCATAAATAGTGATACCAGAATATTCAGACACTTTGGTGAAACATTAGCTGCAGCTAATTCCAGTAACAGCTTCAACTTTCAATAGACTGATGGGTTGAAAAACCAAATACAGAGAAGTTCACACTGCTAAGAATAGAAAATCAATGGCAAAAAAAAAAGGGATATATATAATAAAGCTCTGTGAAATTGGCATATTAAAAGCTTTTCAAAAATAACCAAAAATCCCCAACCCCTACCATCAATGAGACTATATGAAAAAAAAGGTTAGCTTTACTGCCCAAAAACAAATGGCAAGCGTCATTTGATTTTATGGTGTGTAGCATACTGGAATTCCTTATATATTTCATAAGAGATCAGTTCAAAATAAATTCAATCAGAAAGCAAAAGCTTGCACAGTAATGTTTTGAAACAGGATACCCACTAAAATAAACTTCGGAAAGGGGAGGGGGAATAAAAATAGACAGGAACTTCTCCAGAGGTAAATATTATGAAATATGTTACAAAGTAAGCTGCTCAAATGCTGTCGAGGCAAGGAAAGCAAGCTACAAATATTAAATACTTTTTAGGAGAGTCTCTAGAAGACATTTCAAAGCCATCATGCAGAAAGGTTTTCTTCTGTCTGCTAAGAGTAGAGAAAAAGACCTGAAAAAACTCTTATTTTGAAACACAAAATATAGATAATAAATTCATAAAGAAGAAATGCCCTGGAAAAAAATACTTTCCATGGGGGGGAGGGGGTGGGGAAAAAAGATACACTGTTGCACACAGAACACCCTGATTACCTGTTCCCTGTTGCATCTTGGGAAATCTGTAATTTTGGCATAATTGAAGAAACACCATATTCATCCTGATACTTCTTACACGTTTTATAATGCTGTCTCATCCATGAAAATCTAACCTGAAAATAAAATGCCAAATTACTGAAATCATACTAAACAATCCAGGGATAGATAGAAGGAAGAGATAATTCTGCCAACAGAAAGCAATGCATGAAGGAATTATTTAGACCTCATGTGCAGCAGAAACCAGAACTTGGGTCTCCCTTTTGAGCATGAACACTTTCTTCACCAACAGGACATCTCCAATTCCTCTCTCTCCTCAGAGCCAGCGTCACTCCGTGAGACTGGAGAACATTGCCACTCAAACTGCTGGACATCTGAGAGCTCTCTCAAGGATGAAAGATGCAAGTAAACACCATTTAATTGAAACAAAGTCACTGGAACTACACCTCCAGATCCAGCATCAATAGGTGATGAGCTAGAACAGAGAGTGGCTGTGAGGATGGGATAAGCACCACTGCTCCTTCAGTCTTCTCTGGCCTGCTGTTACCTCATGCAAGAAACATTTCTTTTTTGAATTAGGTGTGTTTACTCATTGGCAGGGGAAGGAAAAACAGGTGAATGATCACCAACTTAAGGCTGCCTATTGACCTTTAAATCAAAATAAGAGAATGAGTTGCTTAGATTTGTCAGAAGTCGGCTGAGTTGGACATCCCCATGAATTTCAGCTCCAACAGCACTCTCAGAAGGTGCTCACAGGTCTAGAGGCTGAACAAGATCGTATCTCACATGCCTGTGCCTAAATTCCATTAAAGTTATTCTGTTTGGTTCTTCTGTCGAGTTTACCAACTTGCTATCAGTTTCTTTTTCCCCACCTTTTATCTCAATGAATCATATGAACAATGCAAGCAGCTGAGGGCTCCATTAGTGCTGATCTTCACATTGGCAGAAGTCCCAGGTGAAATGAAATCAACATAAAGACTACCTGGATTTGATGCATTTTGTTATAAACAAAAAGTGTGGCTGAAATCCTACATCTGTTTATATCAAAAGAGACATAACTCTTGGTTTCATTGAGGGTCAAGATTTTACCCAGTGTTCCAAAAATAATGATCCCTTTAGAAAGGAAATTAAAGGAAAGTAAAATGACAGATGGGGAAGGAGGAAATTACATATGATTGATCATGTGGGCATTGCAACTAATCAACTCACATATTTTAGTTTTAAATTAAATTTCATAGTAGCTCAAAGAAGTTGCATTTCCCTATTGAGAGTTTCTGAGGTTTTATATATATCTGCAATTTTCATGTTCAGCTCCTTAACTTTCCTTTTGCCAGTTTTATAGCTGTATCAATTTTTTCCATCTTTTCAGGGAAAAACTGGCACTCCACTTAAAATGCCTTTATTGAAAATTCAAGATGCTCTTTCAGTTTACACCTCTTAGGTACAGCTAGCAGGCACTACATGCCCAGTATATGCACAAGCCACACAAAGCTTAGCTCAAATTGCTACAGGTTCTTCAGCTCCAAGATGAGAATGACACACAGTAAAGGCGTGTCTGGACAAAAACATGAAAAATTTATTCAACTTTTTTTAAAGTTTTACTCTACCTGCTTCTCACAGCATCTACAGCCCCCAGAAGCTTTCTTCATACTGTTTTCAACATCTAGAGCCCTTTTGGGATACGTTCTTTCTTTTTTAGTCACGCTCCCTCGGCAGAGAGGACAATGTGTTCCACTTTCTCTTATAGCTGTCAAGAAGCACTTCCTGCAAAACCTAAATTGAAAAGTTACCACAAACACAGGTTAGCAAAACATACAGAGTTAGATACTTTGTCCTTAAAAAGAGCTGGACGATTGTTAGGGAAAAAAAAAAAAAAAAAAAGAGAAGTATCAGAATACTAGTTTACCGAATACAAAGTTTGACATTTCAAAGAAACATGAAATAATGGTGCTTATGATGAAGTATATGGAAATCAGGGGAGTTGGCAATGCACACTAGATAAAACTCGCTTTATTTATTGACTGGTATTACCGAGCTGCATACCAGATTGATCACTAATGAGATATTAAATGGTGCAGCAAGCACGTGATTTTGGACAATCTTATCAGCGTAACTCCTGTTTATTGTCCTTAAGCAGAGCCAAAACCACTGCAAAGCTTCATTCAGCACGCGTTCCTAGAGACCTCAGGTCACCAGCTTTTGCAGCTCTCCTTCCTTACGCACCAGCTGCCAAAGCTATTTTGCTTTTCTACAAAGTAGTACGTTGTAATCAAACGTCCCTGGAAAAAAAAATGCTGAATAGATGAACTGAAAAGAGAGAACAACTCACACTACCGTCCTTGTTCGAAAAGGAACGGGGAAAACCATGAAGTTAAAAACCGCGAGTTAGCTCAGACAGCACAGCAAAACACCCCCACCGCCGACCAGCCACCCGGGGATGTGGGGGGGAAGGGCTTCTCCTAAATGACCGGTCCTCGTCGGCTACAAAAGAAAGAGGCGAGGGGAGGCTGGAGCAGCACTGGGCTCGTATCCTCACCGCCAGCGTCTCCAGGCCGAGGGTCCGTGCGCCGGGAGCGGGGGGGAGCTGAGGAGCACAAGGCGGAGAGCCGGAGGAGGCGAGGAAAAGGCTTGGGAAGGGGCGGGGGTCGGGATACCCACACGTGCTGGCAGTTGGCGGTCCTCACGGGCGTTTTGAACACCTCCTGGCACACCGGGCAGTAAAAATCATCCTCGCTGAAGCACGCCGGGGCCGCCGCGGCCCCCTCGGCCATGGCAACACGTAAGGGCCTCTCCGCCACGATCGGGGACGACGAACAAGCCCCGCCCTGGCGGGCTGAGGAGAGCCCGGCCCCGCTTCGCTCCCGGGGGGCGCTGCCGGGGTCGGAGAGCGGATGGCCGGGGGCAGCGGCGCCGGGTGGGATCCGGGCCGGGCTGCGGCGGGGCAGCGGAACCAGCCCGGCCTGCGCTCCGCCCGCCGCCCCTCGCGGCTCCTCCCGGCCGGCCCGGGCAGCCCCCGCCCCGCGCTCTACCTGGCGCCGCCCGGGGAGGAAGAACCCGGCAGCTCCGGCCGCGCTCCCGGCGGCACCCGGGGGGGCAGGGGCGGGGCCGAGGTTTCCGTGGCGATCGCCTCCCGGCCCGGCAGGGCTGCTACGACACAGCCCCGCTCCGCCCTGCCCGGGAGGCTTCCCCGCTCCGCCCACCGCGCTGCGCCCGCCCCGCCGCCCTTCCGCCAGCGGGGCGCTCGGGGACTGCGCGGGGGAGCCCCCGGGCAATGGGTTATTTCTAGGTGGAATCGACCCGTCCCCCGTACTCGGTGCCCCTCAGGCCGCGGCTCGAATCCCGTGTTCAGTTCTGGGCCTCTCAATCCAGGAAGGACATGGAGGTGCTGGAGCGAGCCCAGAGAAGGGCAGCAGAGCTGGTGAGGGCTCTGGAGCACCAGTGAGGAGCGGTTGAGGAAGCTGGGATTGTTTATCGTGGAGAAAAGGAGGCTCCTTATCTCTGTCCATCTGAAAGGAGGGTGTAGCCAGGTGGGGATTACCTCTTCTCCCGATTAAGGAGTGACGGGCTAGAGGAATTAGCCTTAAGCTATGCCAGAGGAGGTTTAGGTTGGACATCAGGAGGAATTTCTTCAGAGTGATTAAACACTGGAATGGGTTTCCCAGGAAGGTGATGGATCCGCATTCCTGGGGATGTTTAAGAAAAGATGGCACTTAGAGCTGTGCTATAGCTGACTTGGTGGTGTTCGGTCATAGGTTGGATTTGATGATCTCCAACCTAACTGATGCTGGAATTCTGTGACTGGGACTAGCGGTGATTTTATGGAGTAGTTTTAGTCGTATTACTGAGAGTTGAGGCGCGTTTTCAGCCTCCTGAATGATCCTGACAAAAAAAAAATATATATATATATAATAATAATATTTTTAAAAATCTTAATTTAGTGGTATGATTGTGTTTTTCTTCTAGAGTAAGAACTTTAAAGAATATCCAGCTGTATACTGATGCCAACAGACTTCTCCAGGTAGAGAGGACTTTGGACCTATTAAGCACGTCTAGAACTGACCTCATCTGGACATAACTCTTGGCTTATAAACATTTTCAACCTAAAATGTTGAAAATGCTTTTAAAAGAAACATATTTGTAGGGAGTATATCAACCATATTAATTTGTGACACACATAATCATAATCTTAACATTCAGATTGGGTCTGGTCTTTTTTTGCTCAGAGATCATAGAAAGGTTTGGGTTGGAAGGGACCCTAAAGATAATCTAGTTCCATATGCTCTGCCCTGGGCAGGGACACCTTTCACTAGTCCGGGTTGGTCAGAGCTCCATCCAAACATGGACTTGAACTCTTCCAGGAATGGAGTGTTATGAACAAAACAGCCTGGCTGGGACACTTGGCTTGGGCTAAGTACTGACATTGAAATGTTAATTAGCTAATTGTTCCTGGGAATCACCTACCTTCCCCCACCCTCACTACCATTCTAGGACTGGGATGCAAAATAATCCAGTGGAATCATGGGAGGGGGTTTTGGGCATGAAAAACACCCCTAAATGGAAAAGATGGGCACAGTGGAGGGGGCTGGATGGGTGTGCTCGTTGGGGAAAAGGGAACCCCATCCCTAGTCTGTGTTTGACCTGTCACCATAACCTACAGAGGACCAGACTGGACTGGGCTTTGGGAAGCAGGCACAAAGCACACGCTCACTCCCTGGTGTTACCAGGAGCGAAGGAGAGGGATAGCTGCTGCTGGACCTCGGTAGCAGGCTCTGCACATCCCCCGCACCCTTCGGCTACCAGTGAGCAACAGGAGGATAGGAGTGAGGACAGTCTGCTGGGACTTCAGATACGGACTGCACACCTCTTTATCTCCAGCTACCAGCGTGCCACGGGGGGGGGGACTCCAGGGACAGACTCTGCATGCCTGCTCACCTTTCGGCTACCGGAGAAGCTACAACAGCGGGGGCGAGCTCCTTGTCGAGCCCTCTGCCGAGCTGACTATTAATAAAGGCATAGACCCTGTTTATTTCAGGAGCATCCACAACTTCTCTGGGTAACCTGTTCCAGGGCCAAGACTGAGAGAAAATGGATTCTTCTTCTTGGTTTCCCCTGTGTCCTTGACTGCAGCTGTCTGTACCATAGTTAGATGTTCAGTGGAGATCTCTAGGTGAGGAGCGCTCACTCTCTCTCTGGCCTTCCAGGAAAGAAAGAGTGCAAAACATTAAGAACTGTGGTTCACATATGCTTTCAGACTCCAGCATTTCAAAACCGACTGAAAGCCTAAATGCTTAGGACATCCATCAGAGCTGGTTCTTGTGCCTGCTAGTGATCAAAAGCAAGAGGCAATGCCCATGACACCATCTGGGCTCATGGTTTGTGGGGGAGAAGGCCCTGCAGAGGATGAAGCTGAAGCTAAGGTCTCCAGGTGAAGATGAGAGACGAACCATCCTGTGATTCTGTGTTCTTGTTCAGTATCTGTCACAATTACTAATAGCTATTAATGTTAGTAATTTCCTAAGGGAGAGCAGAGACAGCGCAACAAAAGCCAATCACTGCCCTGAATACCTTCCTTTTGACCACATAGAGACAAAATTTGCATGTCTCTAAGTACCTAGGAAAGTCCCTTCTCAAAGGAAGCACTTCCAAAGCCTTTGGCCCAAAGTGAAATAAGTTGCCTGGGCTGGCATGTTTGCTGCCCATGCTTCAGGTTGTGAGAAAATCTGGTGGAAAAGGCAGAGCTCCTTGGGCAGGGATCTCCCAGGGGAAGACAGGCCTGGGATTTGAGATGCTATGGCAAGTTGTCCTCTGTTAATCATGGCTGTGCTAGCTCAGGACATTACTGCTATCCTGCTCTCATCCCTGCTTCTGAGGGTTATCTGGGCTGTCCATAGGCTGGCAAAACCTCCTACTGTTTAAAGTGATTGATTATCTATGGAATGGAGCAGGAAGCCAGACCATTCAATCTGAGTGGGTGACTAGCAGCAGTTGGTGGCAGCAACCTCATCAGCACTGCAGAGACAGCCAGAAGAAGACACAGAGCTACACCTTAAGTGCTAAGTAGCCTGCAGAGTGCTTCTTGTACGTTCTTGTGTCAGTGAGGATGACACCACAGCTGTATATCAGCTTCAGGGACACCCTAGCCAGGCTGTGACAGTAGATGAAAAGGAGGAACTACAGAATCCTCAGTTCAGATGCCACACAACTACCATTGAAGGCAGCATGGCCTTCAGTCTCAGCACATGGGAGGCCAGCAGAGATGGGCTTCCAAGTCTTTTACTCTTCTTGTATGACTTCTGTAAAACATAGCCTTATGCCTCAGTTTCTCAATCTTTAAAAAGGGAGCAGGTTTTCATAACCAATTAAGGCTGTTAGGAAGTTTAATTACTGCAGGTAAAGAAGGTTATGTCTTTTGAAGGCAGGTGCTAAACAAAAGCTAAGATTTATTACTAAAGCAACATGATAGATCCATTTGAACTTTCTTCAGGAGACTGCAGTATTTATTGATTAGTGGCTTTGGCAGGGGGAGAAATTGTGCAGGTGACTTCAGGGAAGTAAACTACAGGAACGTGTCTGTGAAGGCATTCATGTTCTTGTTAACATTATTGTAAATCTTGATCCTTTAATAAAGCTGTGACCTTGGAGCTGACAACTGGTGTGCCATGGAGCAATATAGAGCATGGCACCAGCCTTGTAAATCTTACGTCGTTTTTGCCACTCACATAAACAACATGTAAAGAGAAATCAGGCAGCTGAAGTTTATGAAACACATTTATTTGAAGGAGAGCATTTTAAATCAGACTTTTTAGATGAAATGAAACCAATGGCCCTTCCAACTTTTATTCCTTGTGATAAAATGTGTTTGTGAAATGAAATCTCAACAGTGAGAACTTTTAGAACTGCTTGTAAACTACTGTTTGCAGGGGTAAACTGCCACTCAAAAAGCACATTTTAGATCACCTTTGCACAACTATTGTACGACTTTGTGGAAATACTTTCTGTACAACTATTATTCTGTTCCTTTCTAGACAATGCTGGTGCAAGAATAGCGCATCTACTTGCCAATGTGAAAAATGCAGAGATTTGTTCTGTGGGAGCAGTCAAAGATGGATGTGAGCAGAAGGGGAAAGAGACAAAGCTGTGTAACTGCAGAGAGGTCAAAAGGTGCCATGAGCAAGGGGACGGATGTAATTTTTGCTCTTGCCAGGTGTATCTGCAAACACTGGAAGCCACAGACAAAACTAAGGACAACACAGCTTATTTCATACATGTAAAAAGTTTTTCAGATGTTCAGGAAGACATAAATCAAATAACTTTTTCCCTATGTTTTAGGCTACTTTGCTCTGGCAGACTAGATGTTTTTTTGGTTACACGGATCTTCCCACATATCAAGCAACATTGCAACACCTTTGGAGCAACACTGTCCATCTTTCTGACTGAGGAGTTTTCTTTTGCAAGGGCAGTTCTCAAAGAAAAGGAAAGTAACTTTCCCAGGCACGTGAGACACTGAACCTTTCTTTTCCTAAAAAGGAGCCACTTTCTGATTCCAAAACCTTAAGTGTAGAGGGCAGTTTCCTTGTTAGTATGTTACCATGTGAGTAAAGCTGCTCTAATCACTGTATATGCTTCAATGAAAGAACATGAATTTTAATTTTTTACAGATCAAGTGCATCTTTGAAAGATACTATGTTTCACTGTACGTGTAAAAAATGGACATCCTTTTTTAAATTTACACAGTAAAAATAGGGGTTAGTTAAAAGATTCCATTCTCTTGAACAGTGTTCAATTTTTTCTTATTATAAATAGAATATTCACTTCTTGCTATCCTTTCAAAACAACTTTCATTTAACCAGCTTTGCTTATTTTAAGTGTCATCTTCTGCTGTAAATGGAAACTTATGTGCAGCCCTTGGCAGTAGGTAGTACCCCTAAGGCTGTTTTGAGGGGGGATTTGTTCCAATTTGTTTGGTCCTGTTGCATCTGAAATGCTGCTGTTTGTCATCTTCCTCCAGCATTGCATTATCATCCTCAGTGCACACAAGATTGGCCTGCTCCTGGAATGGAGCTGCAGACAAATAGGAGAGGCTGCTGTAAAAGCCAGTGTGCCTGTATACTGTACACATTAAAGCATTAACTCATATAAAGGTGCAGACTGTATAGACTGTGTGAATGTTTCCTTTCATTTACTTGGGGTCCTCTCTCATGTGAGCATGGTTAAAGTGGTGAAAACTAAGCTGCAGTGTTAAAGGGAACAGAATGTATTCCCCCCATCCTACCCACTGTGAGAAATGGGAGTGCTGGTTGATTTGTCTACAGGTGCTTGAGTCTGTAACCTCTCTAAAACACCTCTTCTCTGCCTGTGAGAGTCAGAGTCTAAAATGCCATGGCAAATAATGATCAGAGAAGTAAATTACATTTGTCAGGATCCAAGTCTACACCCTGTTGACCTCAAACCTACAAATGGAGTCAGTAAGGCCTCACAGCCTCCCTCCATGGACCTCCAGAATGAAGCCATTTATGTGAAATTATCAAAACTTAGAAAAAAAAAGTTAACCCTCCCACCATGACAGACTCCTATATAAGACCACATAAACAGGTTTCAAATTGTAACTTCAAAACACAGACAAGAATACACAAGAAACGCTACACAAATCTGAGTTAGGGCAGTAGAAATAGCACATGCTGTATTTAAAATCAGGCAAGTTACTGAACAATGCTCTTTGACCTGACTGTAAGTAACCGTTTGTTGTAACCATAATAAGACTTACTATACATTTTCAGTGGCCCAACTGGCACTCATAAGGACAGGAGTGCTAAAATTTTAAATATTATGTGCGTACCTGCTTGTCTGAGAGAGATGGGGAGAGGGAAAATATAGGTACATTTGTCCTCTGCTGTCAAAATCAATTAAACAATTAATACACTTTCTCTATTATTTCCTATCAGCAATGGTTGCTATAATTAATCAGTTTAATATGCAAAGTCAGTGAAATAATATGCTTATGTACATTACTACTACTGTCCCTTCTGATCTGTGGTGCATGAGACATGGCCCATTAGCTCACCCTCACTGACTTTGCATAGGCAATAAGGAAAAGAGTATCTGGGAATAAGAAGTAGTGTATTTTTAGTGGATGCCGAGTAACTGATACATTTTTGTTACTACAAACTATAAAAGAAGTATTGAGATTTCCTTGGGC